TTGTGCTAGTTTCACAGGTTACAGTGGACTGGGTGGCTTAGAGAGTAGAAACTTATTTCTCACAATTCTGGGGGCTGGGAGGTCTGAGATGACGGCCAGTGTGATCGGGTGCGGTGAAGGTCCTCCCCTTGCTTCGCAGACAGCTGTCTTCTTGCTCTGTCCTCACCTAGAAAGCAGAGAGTGAGAAAGCTCTTGTGTTTCTTTATCTACGAGCACTGACCCCTTGGGACCTAAATATCTTCCAAAGGCTCCACCTTTACTATCATACTGGGGGTTGGGATTTCAATATATAAACCTGAGGGGAGAAATATTTAGTCCATAACAGAGGGAGAGTTTCAGTAGCCCAAAGAGAAAGGTGAGGTGGTGGGGACAGTGGAGACTTTTGGGAAATAACCCAAAAGGCTTCTTTCTACAGCACTTGACAGTTTTCTTTCTTTTTAAAAAAATTTTTAAAGACTTTTTGTACATATGTACTTGTGGTATCTGATGATTACATTCATTGTGGGGTGTTGGTACATGACAGTTTTCTAGTCATGTACAAACCTATGAACACATTCAAGTCTCCAGTAGCCAATTTTAGCAAGAATCTTTAAATCTAACTGCTGACATTTACTAAGCACTTAGACCTTAACACAAATCCCAAGAGGTAGGGAAAATGCCAAATGTTTCCCTCCAGCTCAGCTAAAGAAGCAAAAATGAATCAGAAAAGAAGAAAAAGAGGTTATGGTTCTCCACGTGAACTCTTCTCCCTTTCTGGCTCAGACACAAGTGCAATTCTCTCTCCTGTTACAGATGAGGAAAGTAAAGGAACCCACTACGTCCCTGTGGCCAGGAAATGACAAAGAGGATACCAGAGCTGGCAACTAATTCTATGGCCTATGCTTTCTCCCACATCCAATGAAACGATGCTTCTAGCATTTCATACGTGGGTAGTATCTCCCACCCACCCCCACCCATAAAAACTAAAGAATTTCCTCTAATTTTCCCACATGAAAATTGCATTCCTATTCTTGTGCGTGGGCTGAGATGTATTTATACTGTGAGGGCCTGAATTGTGTTTGACCACTCTTTAAATTCAGAGGTTGGAGTCCTAATCCTCGGTGCTTACAAACATAACCATATTTGAAGATAAAATTAGAAGACATTAGGAGATATTTTAGAAGAGGTCATGAAATTTAAATGAGATCTCTTAAGGTAGCTCCAAATCCAATGAGACCACTGTCCCTGGGAGAAGAGGAAACTCGGGCACATGAGTGACAGCAGGAACACGCACACGGGGGGACACCGTGTGACACACAGCGAGGAGATGGCCTCTGCAAAGCAAGGGATGCGGCCTCCTAGGAGTCCAGCCCTGCTGACCCTTGATTTCAGACATTTTGTCTTCAGAATACTGAGAAAGTACATCATTGTAGTTTAAGCGCTCTGTTTTTATCCATCTGTGATATTTTATTATGGCAGCCTAGAAAACTAATACATTGCCCTAATCTTAAACCATAAATGGATACATGCCTATTAGATTGGCTAAGAAAAAAAAGTGAGAAAGTAAACTGACCCTGTCAATGATTGTGTAGGATGCAGAGCAAATGCAATCCTCATTCATTCCTGGGGGAAGGCACAGGGGGGTGGCCAGTTGAGAAGTTTCTCACACAGTTAACTGTGCAGCTGCCGTAGGACCCACCAGTTCCACTCCTGGATATTCACCCAACTGAAACGAACTTCTGTTCACTCCTAGCCTTGAACATAAGTGCTTACGGATGCTTTGTTCAAAATTGCTCAAAACAGAAAATAACTCCAAATGTCCTTCCACTGGTAAAAATCCCGGGTCGCAAACTGTGGTCAATAGTTTTGAAACACAGACCTGAAATTTGCCCAGACAATAGAATTTTACTAAACATAAAGAAAACCAGCTACTGAGCTACACAACCATTTAGGTGGACCTCAAATGCCTGATGCTAAGTGGAAGAACTTTGCCTCAAAAGGCAAAGTTACCTGGATGATTCCATTTACAAAACACTTAGTCAAAGGCCGAAATAGCAGAAATGGGCCGTAGTCAGTGGTTGTGGGGATGAGGCGCAGAGGAGGGTGGCTATAGCTACAAAAGAAGCAGGATAAAATACTTGGTGATGGTGGGGTACAGCTGCTCAGACCTTGAGTGGCTACTTGGCAGCATAGCTAGAGATATACACCAGAACCATTGGACTTCATTGAGTATAAAATTCTTTAAGTGAATAAAAATGAGGCTGTAGCTTAGAAAACACACAAACCTGCAAAGCCAGTGAGGAGCAACTAGATAAACTGACAGCAGTCCTTCCCTAGTGCCTGTCAGCTTGCATCTCTGGGTTTTCCACGAGGAGGGCACTAATCAGGACAGTCCCATTTCACAGATGTGGGAAATAAATACCCCATGGCCATCCTGGAGAGGACCAGCTGGGCACCAAAGAACCCCAACCATAAGCCAGGCTGCTCTGCTTAGCCCCTTAGTGTGCTCCATCCAGACACGCCAGACCTTACCCAGGGGCCTGAGGGAACGTGGAAATGGGAAGCAGGAGTTTGGGGACCCCCAATAACAGCTGCTATGAGGGAGGATGGCAGACTGTCTGGGGTCTCAGCAGGGCTCAGGGGTCACCAGCTGGGTGCTAAGGTGAACAGTTTCACTGGTTTTACCTTTACGGACCTAGACAGAATCGAGCATATATCCCCTCCCCTCACAGTGGCAGGTTTTTCATGGGGGGACACCTGACAGAAGCCCCCCTGCCTCAGTCAAGCCCAGCAGTCAGTCACTGTCACAGAGGCTGATGCTCTGACTATAGTGGCCACCAACAGAGCAAAGTTTCTGGAGAAGTGGCCTCACGGATTCCCAGATTGGGATCCGCATGATCAGAGCCGCCACTTTTCTCTGGACACAGTGTTTCAAGATGGAAGTTTTACGCGCTTTAGGTATAGGGAGGCCTGCTGATAGGGAGACACCTGCTGCAGGGAGAAGTGATTGTTAGACTCAGATCTCAGGAAAGGGACACAGGCCACGCCATAGGGATCACTTGGGAGGCACCAGGGTCAGTCAGGTGGTGGAAGGGAGTGGAAACACAGACCAGAGCCTTTACTGTAGTTTCTAAGGGGACCAAAAGGTATGTGGAGCCAATCAGGTGTAGGACTGGCTACTTGGAATTGCTTCCGGAAGCTCTGGGGAAAAGGCTGTACCTAGCTGTCTTACCTGGGCTTGGAGTGATTAGGATGGGAGCAAGGTGCTTTGGAGTAGGAGAACCAAATAAAGGAAGGTCCTGGGGTGTGGGTTTGCAGTGATGGCTCTCTCGTGAGATGTTCCTTGCTGTCCTTGGGAACCAGCAGGCCCTGAGGGGAGTGGTCCATCCATAGTCAACAAGGCCCCAAGATGTCAAAGCATCAAAAGTACAGGACAAAAGGACATGACAAAAGCAATAAGCTCACAACCACTTATCAGGGCCTCATGCTCTATAGTGTCTCTCAGGGGACACCTCGGTGATAGGATTTGCCATCACCCCAGCTCGAACTTGGGCCAGCCATGTGGCAATGTGGGAGATCCCGCCCAAAGGGGACAGAAATTTCCCTAAGAGTTTGGGTGTGCAGATGTGTTGTGAGGTTCTCCTCCCACCCTTGCTGGGTTCTGCTGTGAAGAAGAAACCTCATCCAATTGTCCCTCACACCAGCGAGTCTTTTCCCAGATACTGGGTGGCAGGGCCTCCTCCTCCACCTGTGAGGTGGTGTTTGTTATCCATGTCTCACAGGTGAGAAAACTGGGCTCAGAGAAATAAAGGGATGGCTTCTAAATAACAGAAAAGAGATCTCCCCTTGGGGGAGGCAGGAGGAGGAATTGGGAAAGGGCCCAGAGGCCCAGAGGCTTCTGAAAGTGCACAGCTATCTTAAGGATACCAGGCCCAAGCACATGAGAGGCAAAAGCTGCAATATTAAATGCGGAGCAAAAGATAGAGCTCCAGTTGCAAAATACCAAGACTTGGGCAGGTCAAAGTGGTCAAAAGGGCCTGAGCAGTGGACATCACAGGTGGTGGTGCCCAGGGCCAGGACACACAGTAGCCTGGCCTGAGTGGTCAGTGAAGAGGCTGGAGAGGGATGCTGTTTAAAGAGGCCTGGCCCTGGAGGACTTTGGACATCCAACGAAGACATTAGAGCTGTATTTCTGGGTATAGTAAGGGTTTAATCACCTACTTAATCACTCACTAGCTCAGCAAGTTATTTAACCTCCCTAAATGTCAGAGGCCTCATTTATAAAATAAGGCTTAATACCTGGAATTAATATCCTCAGAATTACTTTCTCTCATTTTGGTCTTTTTTGAGACAGGGTCTCACTGTGCAGTTCAGGCTGGTCTCGATCTCACAACAATCCTCCCGCCTCAGCCTCCCGAGTGCTGGGATTACAGGTGTGCACCACCACACCTGGCTCTCAGAATTACTTTCAAGAATAAATGTAGAGGGGCTGGGGATTTAGCTCAGCGGCAAAAGCGCCTGCCTGGCAAGCGCAAGGTCGTGAGTTCGGTTCCCGGTACCGGAGAAAAACCAAAAAAAAAAAAAAAGAATAAATGTAGATTAGAGGTGTAGCTCTGTGGTACAGAGGCCGTCTGGTGTGCATAAGGCCCTGGTTACATCCCCAGCACCACAAAAAATAAATACAATAACCCTATAAGATATTCAGTACCATACCCAGCACAGAGCGGGTCCTCACAATAGTAAATATTCATTGTGCATCAGAAATGATAATCTCTCTGAGCGTCAAATGTGTCATAAAATCCAAGCGAATGGGGTCCGAGTTAACTCTGCCCTCTGTCTTCCGTGCACAGACTCAGCCCATTTCCTGAGCTACTCTGGGCCTGCAGCTTGGGGTGGCCCTGCCAGGCCTGCCTTTTCTCCTCACTCCCCGGACACATCGTCAGGCCCACAGCGCAGGCCAGGAAATTGGTGGGTGGGGCTGCAAAAGGTCATGCCGCCGTGAAGGGACAGGGGGCTGGGATTCGGTCTTGCCAGAAGAGAACTGAGGTCTTTCTTCCTGGCCTCCTAAGAGGGCGCCATCCACCACGGTGATCAGATCTCCAAGATTAATGCAGTGTGTCAACGGGACTTTCAAGGCACTTTTTGAAGGTAAACAAGTCACTATCACCTCTGCTTGGAGTTTATGAATTACTTTTCCTCTCCTGGGAGAGAAAGGGGAAATCTACACTAATTGAGCCTAAAGCAGGGGCTCAAGTTTCTCCGGGTCATTCTTTACTTGCAGTCGCTGGGGATCCTAACCAGGTGCTATTTTAAGAGGTTCTCCCTTCAGCAGGATTTGCAGAAACACCAAACCTCCCGAGAGGTGAGGTTCCAAGGCCTAAGCCACAGCTGACCAGTTTTCCTCCCCCGGGCACCACATGGGGCCCCCTGCAAGGTCTTAACTACCCTGATCTTATCTCCTCCTAAGGAATTTTCCCACGGGGAGGCAGGAAAGGTCATCTGTGAGCCTGGTCAGGTGCCCCTGGTCAGAGCGCACCCCGTTCTGCTTCCCGGGGGCTAGAGAAGTCCACACCTGTGTGCTGCTGGGCCTCTGTTTCCTCAGGTTTTCCAGGGTCCCCTCCTCCCCCTTCAAGATGGCTGAAAAACCTCCAGGTACGCCAGGAGGTTTTATTTACAGTAGCTCCCACTTGACAAGGTTTTGAACTCTTTCAGCCTGGGGATGGGCGCAAAGTCAGCAAAGGCTCCCTAAGGCAGGAGGTCTTCAGTGCCACATCCTCAGGATTCATGTACCATCTTTACGACCTTTATCACATCTGTGTTCTACCAGTACTGTCATGCGTGTTTCATTAAATCATTTGTTCTCTTCTTTAACAATTTGATAAAGGCATATTGGGAACGGGAAAGGCAAATGGCAAATGAATACACACGTACTCTACTTACCATAGTCACGATGGAAATAAATATAGCAACTACCCCTCAGAGTGAGAATGAGCAGCGTAAAACTCCACAGAGTGAGACCCCTGATCTCTCACACATCAGGTGAGGGAAAGAGGACAGCGCTTGTGACTCCATTTGTACCACTGATGCTCCATACAGGAAAAACCTCTGCTGCTAGGAGTCAGGAGAGGAGGCTCTGGGAAGGAAACACAGTGACTGGACCCGGACCAGGGCTCTGGAGGCCCACAAAGTTCTGCTTCCTGAATTTACAGCAATAGAATTCTGATGTTCACCCAGAGAGCCTGTCCCCCTTTCCAGGTTGCTCAGCCTGTGATAGGTTCGTTCAGTTCAACATCCAGTTAATATCAGGTATTATGCTCAACTTTAGTGCCCCTCTCAAATAAAAAAAAAAGTTTAAAAATAAGGAGAATTACAGCAGCCAAATTCTGCTGGTTATTCCTTACTCGGTTCTAGCCAGAAACCACGGTCACTTCCGGGCTTGAGACCAAGGCCTGCTGCCCTGCTGCAAGAAGTGACCAGGTGCCCACAGGGGTTGCAGCAAGAACCAGGCTTTCTCCTTGTCCTAGGGAAAGGAAGTGACTTTCTGCAGGGTGATTCACAGCTCTGTAGAAACACCCCGGGAAAACACTGAAGCAGGCTGCGTACTCCCACCTCCAGGTGAATGATTACAGTGAGATACGGTGGACAGCCGCGGGTGCGAGGGAGGCCCGTGGACGGGTGGCAGGGCGAGGGGCCCGGCAGAGTCCTAGTTGACCGCCTCCATGGCCGGGATGAGCCCGGTGCAGCTGCACAGCGGAGGAGCTGGCTTTGGGAACTTCACCCGCTGCGCTGGATTCAGGGGGCGCCGGAGGCCAGATGCTGAGGGCCTTGCGCTCTTTACGGGCCTGGATCTCTGATCTGGCCTAGAGAGTGAATTCGTGCACCCACCCTCCCAGGGGCTGGTGGAAAGGGCCAGACACCTTGCCCCGGATTCGCAGGTTCTGGGGTTCAGCGAAAGCCTCCTCAGCACAGAAGGATCTGGGCCCACGGCCACGCGGGAAAGCCCTGAGCCCAAAGGCTGAGCTGCAGTTTCCCCGGCGCCCTCCACCCCTCACTGAGGATGGTTTCCTATTAAGCGTTAATGATTAAATCGGGGTTCTCCATTAACCCCGCGCAGGCCTTTGTCTCCGGCCGCCTAGGAACCTCCACCTTTGAAATGCCACATAAAAATGATAAATGCCCTTTTCCTCCCTCCCGGGGTCGACAGGTCCCGATTCCCTTTAAAGTCTGAGTGGGTAGCACAGGGCGCGCCTTGTTTAAACACAAAAGCGCAAGGCCGACCTGGGCTGCGCGGGGACAGCGGGGCGGACCCTGAAGACGCACGGCAGCTGCGGGACGAGGAGTGGGGGGCGGGGCGCGGGCCCGGAGCCAGGGCTGCTGTGTCCAGCGGTGCTGCCTTCCTGGGAGGCGGATGTGCTGCGGGCCGCAGACGATGTGAAGATCTGTCGCTTTGCGATGGGTCAGCCTTGCAGCGCTGGTGGCCATAGTGACAGCAACCAGGAGGATGCTGGAGGAGCTTGTAAATCAAGGCTGACAGAAAAAGGGCATCGGCATTGGTGCTCTGCAGCGGGCAACACTCAGGGCAGTGTAATCTAGGCACCCATAGCTTCTGCATCACTCAAGCTTGCGGGACTGGACTCTGCACTTTGATTGGATCCCCAGGTGACCTGAGCACACCTGAATTTGAGACGCCGGAACTACTTCTACTAGTGCTGGTGGTAGTAGTACTGGCTGATTTGTACTGAGTGCTCCACCAACGTCCAGCAATGCTTTGGCACCTTGTTCAGCTGTCCTGTGTAATCCTTATAGCACGCCCAGTGAACCATTTAGCTCAGGAAAAGGTTGAGGTCGGGGAGATTTGGTGCCTTTCCTGAGGTCAGAGAGATTTAGAGTTCCAGGTTGCAAAAGGGGCATATACGGGTCCCATGCAGAAACCTTCTCCAAGGTAGCTCTGCGGGGTTCACTTCAGTTGAGGAGTTAGGGAATGACCACCGGCAAAATCAGAGGACAAATCCTGGAGGCTGAACATGTATCTTGCTGACCTGGATCAGGACTAAGCGTACATGGCCAGAGAAAGATGTGCTTGCTCCAGCCTCCCACCTCAGACTGGGGGTACCCCAGGAAGTGGGTATGTGCTGGGGGTACCCAGCCCCCTCCATTCTCCCACTCCAGCACAGAAGGATCTTGACACCCTGAAAGGGTTAATTTAGGGCTCACTTGCTCCATAAATCTGTGTTTATCTGCCGAAAAGTAAGCTATTTAGGTTTCTGATTTACAGTCCTTGGTTTTCATAAAAGTCAGTCATTCCCAGTAAAAGAATGTGGGTTAGATTTATAGGATCTGCGTTAGTCTTTAAAGCCCAAAGCTGCTCTATGACTCACCCTCCATAATGTTTTTGCTCTGGCCCAGAGATATGCGTGTGCGAAGAGAAAGATTCAGAGCTCTGCTCTGAAAAATAAGACTTTCGGGGGGAACTAATTATAATGGCGTCAATTGTACTATGCCTGTAAACTTGCCATGCGTGGGCGCCCCTGGAGCCTGTTTTCCAGGGGTTTTATTCCACAGTAAAATGTGCTTTGGTTTGTAGTTGGCATATAAGACCTCCACTACTATGAGCAAATGTTTTCTCCTACCAAATTATTAGAAATAAACAGCCCACCAGTGGAAAGGCAGAAAAATTATAAGCAAGGAAAATAAATCTTGGAATGTTTGCATTTAGTGACTTTCATAAAATGAGTGACTGAACTGAGCAGCTCAACTGGCTAAATGGAACCAGCCTGGTATTTTTATTTTAATTTCAGCTTGTGGTTTGCCAGTGTGAAATGGGGTCAGTGCAAGACACCATGGAAAAAGGCTTTGATGTGTCCTTGAAAAATATTTTGCTCTGTGACTTCACAGTGTTTAGTGTCTTTCTTCCCCTCCCACCCCAGCTTCCAGCTTGACAAACTGCATGTCTAACCCATGACCATCACACATAATAAAATATAGCCATCATCAATAATCTTCTTTCCAACTCCTTCCCCTCCCCCAGAAAGGTCTGAATTCGAGGCAGAATGTCTTACAGTGTAAAGCTAAAATGCTGATCAAGATAACAGAATATGATTAAAGCGGTCACAGGGAGCCAACCTTTTAAACTTTCTCCAAAGGGAAGCCAAGAGGAGGGGAGGGAAGGATTGGGCTGGTGGCCAGTGCAAATAGCACCGGGCTGGGCGGGGTAAAGGTTTGCCAGTGGGTGGAGAAATGGAGTGGATTGGCTTGAGAAGCATGGTAGAACACAATGGCCCCAGAATTCAAGCAAGTTCTCCTTTCCACTTGTATGAGAAAGAAAAATGTGGTTAGACTTCAGGGAGTCTTGCAGAACTTAGGTTTTAATTCCGTCTCAATGTGGATCAAGAATAAGACCTTAGATTTTTTGATCTTGGTCAGAGTCAGAAAGTGTTTGGAGCAGAGCTACAGTGTGTTGCCCAAGGCCTCTACAGTGTGTTGATCGGACGAATGCGACTTGCCCTTGACAGTTGAGGGAACTGATTTCAAAACGCAGAAGAGATGCACAAAGAAGGGGTGCAAGCCTATGTGGGCTCATTCATGTTTCAGTGTAGCTGGGATAAAACCTCCTGCTGGGCCTCATCCTTCCCTCACCTTCACCTTCACTAAGGCGAAGGTCAGTGCTTTGCTAGGTGCAGGGCATTGTGGTAGGAAAAAAATGTGTTCCCTGCCCCAACTGGGTTCCAGGGACAAAGATGATGCAGGCAGTCTACTACAGCAGGCCGTGTAGAAAGTGATGAGGGCAATACAGAGAGACAGCATGTGTGGACATGGAAACCAAGGAAAGCATCAGGAAGTAATGTTTTCACACTCCACGAAGAAGTGAGACAGCAAGAGGGGAGGAACAAGAGAATCTAAGGAGGAAGCAGAATGAATGAATGAATGGAAATGTTTGGAAGTAGGGTGTTTGCTTGTTGGAAAGAGGCAGAAGCTTTTTGTGGGCTCTTCAGGGAATATGTAAGGAGTCCATAGGCCAGGATGGGAAATCTGGGCTGGACTGATTTATAATTCTTGATTCCTTAGACTGATATATAGTCCTCTAAACCTTGCTGAGAAATCTAGACTTAATGCTGCCAGTGCTGGGGATTTTCCCTGACTCACTAGAA